AGCTGTGTTTGTAATATTTGCGCCAAATAATGGAAACTGATATTGATAATACTTTCGCTACGAGTAGTCCATATATATATATATATATATATATATACAAATATATTGATACTGTTCTCGTCACGGGTAAAAACTACTGTGAGTAATACCCTTTCTCACCAAACAGTTGCTATTGTTACTGGTAGAAGTTGATATTAGTTATACCCTTTCAATGTGTCATAAAAAATGTATCGCCATTACAGTTTACACAAGCCTGAACTTTAATTGATAATATCTTCGAACCATCAATATAATCGTAGTGTGCTCACTCATCAGTAAAAAATATTATTGATAATGGCTCTGCTCACCACTAAAAATTACTATTAGTAATATCCTTGCATACCAATAAAAACAATATTTGACAATTTTCTCACTCAATAGTGAAAGCTACCACTGGTAATATCCCTGCTCATCCTCGAAACTTATGTTCATTGTTGAAGACTGTCCGCGCCCTCTAGAAAATGCTGATAATGAGGGTATAAATTATAAACAAATTGTAATAATCTTGACACAAGAGATACACAAAATAACTAGGAAAACGTTACGCTGGGGTCTTTTGTAAAGAAGTACTTAGGTATCAATATCTAGTTGTATATATCGCCATTTTTGATAAGACAAGTAGTTTACGTATAATTATATATCTAGTTATTTACTTGACCTAAATATGTAAGTTGCTCTATTCTTACCTTTTACTTCTTTGTAGGCCTAGTCGAAAAATAATACCACATCAATGGGTTCTTCTCACCCTCAGACAATATAACCCATAATCTTCCGTGCTACTTGGAGAAATCATGCGTCTGCAACGGCTGGCGGTGCTCACACTGTCGGCAGCCGCCTTCGATGTCTATAGTCGTAATCTAGATGGGCGGTGTGGTTCCTGGCACATGCAACGTGCAGTGAGTCAGCTTAGCCGAGGCGTGGAAAATGATTTCAGTTTTATTTGTATCGTGTCGCAGAGAGAGAGATAGAGAGAAATGAAGGGCAATCTTAGGAATAGGTTACTCTTTACCTCAAGAGTACCTTAACTAATCAGCTTTTCACACTTTCACAGAAATTATGTTGGCACCTACTCACACATGAGATACTGTGGATGAGAATAAGTCTTGCATATCAAACTCCCCCCCCACCCCTTCTTCCCCATCATCATCTGCTAAGCCGAGAAAAAGACTACTATCAGTAGGCGGGCTTTGCAGCTCACAAGGGGGAGGATCGCAGCTGGGTGCTGAATTTTGCTGTGGCCGCTACGTAATTACGCTCGCTGATCGTTGCCGCGCTGCCGTAGACTAAATGAAAGTGCATTCAGGCAATGACGATGGCAGAAGACAAAAAAAAAGTTGTGAAAATGTTTGATTTCAACAACATCCTACAGCTTCCTTTGTTACTTTGAGCTACCGAGGATGCTAATTAGGCCATATTCTAGACAGCTTACGGTTCCTCTAGTCACTCTAGGTAGGCATGAACACTTACACTAACTGGTATCTTCTATATACTAAGCTCATACGTGGCTACTCTAGATATATGAACTTAGTATATAGAAGATACCAGTTAGTGTAAGTGTTGACGTGGCTACTCTAGATATCTTGAATGTACGTATATATCATTACTTTAGTGTTTACTATGTCGTAGCTGAGGAGATAAGAAAAAAATACCATCTTGTGATTCCACGTTCCTTAAAACAAATATAAACACTAAGACCTTAAGTTGTTACAGATTCTAATAAGTAAAACTAGTTTCACATTCTTGAACAATATTATTTTCTTTCTTACAAGTAGTGTAGAAGACAACGTCAACGTTATTACTTATTTTTTCTTTTATATCTAACATTTTCGTGGTTTATTTTCCAATGTACACCCTACATATAGACATTATTCACAGATCCTTGTAATTTTTATTTGGTTTATATTCCTGGTCATCTGAATGATTTATGTTTTTACTTACTTCTACATTTGTTATCATTCTCATATTTTGTGCTGCCTTTCATAACCATATAATGAGAATGTTAACAGCTACATATTTTCCAATATTTCAGAAGAAATAATCGTAAGCTTAGTTTTTCAAAGCACGTTTTCCTTTAATTACCCAAAATTCCAATTATTCATATGCTGTTAAAATATACCCAAATATCATTGTCGTAAATGTCACTTACACAATCTTTCATTCTTCGCGTTTTATCCTCTATAAATGCTACAAATGATTAATATTTTTGGTAATTTTTTAATCACAATGACTGGGCTACGTCCCAACTTACAGTATTGTATTATGTTTTAGGAATTTCATTAATCCTTATGATTGTGCTATCGTCGAGGTATCTTTTCCACGGTTTGTTATTTAACTGAAGGAGTATAAGTGTGCTTCTTTTTTTTTACAGCGTAGAGTTAAGTGGAAGAATCCAACGATAATAGTTTTTTTTGTTACTTAACTGGAAATATAAAGGGTTTTTTTCTGTGTCGCACAATTAGTAAAGGTGTTTAAGGTTATTTTCCTTGTGTTTGGCTACTTAAAGTCTTCTACGTGTTATTTTTTATGAAACATTTTTTTTTTCACCATTCCATGATTAAATTAACTAAATGGCATATAAGAGTCTATTCCGTGATGTTTAATTAATAAAAAGCTTTCGAAGTTCCTTTCTTCGTTGCTTAGTTAAACAAAGGGTGTACAGGATATCATATATATGTATATATATATTTTTTTTTAAGTAATAAAAGGCGCACCGTGTTCCTTTCTGCTTTGCTTGGATAATAAAAGCAATCCAGGGAGCCTTTCTGCATTATTTGGTTAATAAAATCGTCCAAGTTTGTTTGAAATTAAGCACAAAGCTACAGAATAGGCTATCTGTGCTCTACCCACCACGGGTATCGAAACCCGGTTTCTAGCGTTGTAAGTCCGCGGACATGTCGCTGTGCCATTGGGGGGCATTGTGTTGAATTCAACATTAATTTCCCAAAATAGACATTTGTGTTTATTTCAATTTTTTTCTTATAAACAACTCCATTTTGAATTGTTTCCCGGTAAATCAACATTAGGTCTACAGACTTAGAACGATAATATCCGGAGTTCGATTCTCCGAGGTGAACAAAACATATATAGTCATTTGTATATTTACGTGCTATAAAAACAAACACAAAAAAACATTAAATTTGCTTCTCCAATAATATGTTATGTGGCGCCATCTATTCATTGTTTACCAAGCTAATTTAATTATTTCTTAAAAATGAGAAAATACTTCTACGGAATTCCAAGGCGTAAAAGATGGATATTATATTCACCTATTTATTGAATTATTGTTAATTCTATTAGATTAAAATTGTTTAAATATCTGTGTGATAAAATAATTGGAAAATTATAAACGGCTGTAATATTTTCTTCCATTTAAACATTGAATACTTTTCCCTTGAAATACATAGAATATCAGGATTTGCTACCCACGTAACAACTTTTTTAAAATAAATATGAATAATCAATTAAAACAAGTTATTGTAAACTGTATGATAATAAATTCAAATGAAGTATTGTTTTAATATATTTTTTAAGGCTTATGCGAATATATATATATACATACAAATATTTGGGAAATTTTTTGTTAACAGAGCTGCATTAAATGCCAACTTATGCCGCCGACTATGGATCTCCATTCTTTATTCTTTGCTGCCTACACCAATAGCTTTCCTAATTCAAGCTTTTCATCCCTTCTTCATTTTCTAATACATTGAACCAAGTGCATTTCTGCCTGCCTCACTCTCTTCTTCCTTTGTTTTATCCACCAGAATCTCTGGAAGCCTTCTTTTCTAGCAAATTATATGTTCTAAACAGAATATTTGTCGTTTCCTTTATATATTCAGAGTTATTATTTTGTCTTTTCACGCTACAATCTTCATATTTATTTCTAAGTAGCTGATTTTCATACTTTCGGATGCTTCCAACTATGGTTTTGTTTCAGCAGACAGGACCAACGTTTCCACACGGTAGAATAAAACTGACAATACGTAACATTTTTAGTAGTCTCTTCTGTAACTTTAATTTGACATTCCTCCTGAACAATTCTTTGAAACTGAATCATTTTGTTTTAACCATTCCCATCCCTCAGCTTATTTTTCTTTCTACCTTTGACATCACTACTGATATTCGTCCCTGAATAATTAAATTCCTCTATTTGTTCCAGTTCTTTACTTTCTACCTTCATAAATAGTTTATGGAGTTTCTTCAAATCATAAAATTATTACTGTCTTGGATTTGTTGACATTTATTCCGTTTATCAGTAAGCCTGTCAAGTAAGAGTTTTATTTTTTCCTCAGATTATTACAGATTCTGTTTCTTTAAATCTTGTTTGCTTTTGTATAAGTAATTAACTCTCTTATCAATCACTCACTACACAATGTTGGTGACAGCACACATTCTTGTCACACTCGTCTCTTAATCGCAAGCCAGTTGATTAGTTCTTATTAAGTCAGATCTGCTGGTTCCTGACTCCAGTGTATTGAGAATTACTTTTATGAATAATTTTAGGTATGAATAATAAATATGATAGTTATGTATTGTCTATACTCCACAGCTTTAGGTTCAAATTAAACAGTTGCGGTACTTTCACGTAAGACATATTTCATTCACATCGACAAGACCACTAACAACGAGAGATTTGATATGTTTACTGAGTAGTACTTCTATGTTCTTTGACTACTGAAGTCAAGATAAATAATGAAAGACTAAATACAAATTGAACAATCTTTATTTAAGACAAACACAACGAAAATATATGCTTAACTTGTTACGATAAACACTTGTTTTTACTGGAGAGTTAGTACTAACTCGGTGATCTCAAGTTTCAAACTGTATCACTCAAAATTCTATTCCAGATTGACTAAGCTGAGATCTGGTTCCAAAATAAATAATTCACGCGTTTTTTACTTCAGTCATTAACGCCAGACTTATCTAGAACAACCAGTGCTACACACGGAGCTAGTCATTCCCTAATTAAATACCAGATAGGTCGTTACTTGAAGATGTCACAAACCATGAGTGATCCTGGATGAATGATACAGAATAATGGACACCTAAAGTGAAAGGAATTTAACAACATTTTTGTACCAATGTGGTGTGAAAATAGCACAAAATAATATATTATGAAAAATTTTCTATATTAATAGAGAGAAGTAAAAAACACATAATGTGTTTATATTCGACACAGATATAGCACAAGGTTTCGTGGTTGACCTTTTAATGTCACTGCAGTTGTAAATGTTTATTTACACACTGTAATAAGTTGACTATGTTTGGCTTAAGTGAGTGGGGCAAGGTTGTAATTTCTGATTTTCTTTTAGCTAAGATAGATTATGCAAAAATAAACTAGCAAATATATGCTGCATTACCAGCTGATCTGAAAAAAATTGCACCAGTAACGCATTCAATAACTGTCCAGTTTTAGCTGTCGGGAAATGAGATTTTTGGTTGCCTGCTGATGTTTCCGAAGGGAGATCAAGAGATATATAAATGTATTGGTTGCCCAGTCTCGTAATCGCTTCGACTTAGAAGGTAAACGAAAGCGTGCAAAACATGGAAAATTGCCTCACACCAGTTTTTTTTACATAACCAGTGTATTCTACTTTATTTTCAATTGATCGATTGCCTTCAGAAATGAAGGTTAATGCTGGAGCAGAACAATCTTTATAAAGGATATATTATCAGTTTCAGTAGAAAGGAGGAAGTAGGAGACTTTCATCCTGACATCAAAAGAATGCTTGTTCAGTAGATTGAGAATGTTTTTTTTAATCCTTTAGAATTGAAACGTGCAGAAGATTACATTTAATTGTACAGTGTACTGTATAGACGACTCAGGGATATATTTACTTCAAACAATTAAAGACGAAAAAAAAAACCAAGGTTCAAAGCAAATTCAATCAAAATATGTAGGAAGTTTTGTTGGAGCTATCTTTAAAAAATTCTAATCATTGCTTTATCGAAAAGTTTAGCTCAAACCAAAATATATGTAACCCTAAACATACACTGCCACTGCATGAGTTGCATGTTTATAAATTGAAGAATCATAAACTTCACTTTTGAAAGTAAATTCACGCTTTAGTTTTAAAGAAGAGACA